TGCAGCCTGGCTTCCAGGAAATTAACTGAATGGAAACCCTAGTTTTATCTAGCACCAGTAGTGTTCAGTGGACTCCTTTAAGGACTCTTAATCTCACTGGAGGACTCTTGAAAACAGTTTCCTTGAGCGTCAGGGAAGCCAGCTGTTCTTTTCATAATCATAGAAATAGAAAAAATGTATATTTAAAATTATTTGAGGTTTCTGGAAAACAAATGGGGTTTTTTGTTGTTGTTTTTTAATTCTTAATTCTAATTTGGACCAAACTAGTTTCACTTGTGGAAGAGGAAGGCTCTGCATTCTATGGGATTTCAGGGTGGGAGTGCTTGTTTACAAGGAAGAAGTAGGAAAAGGGATAGAGAGAGGCTCAGCACATCCATTTGCCTCCTCTTCTCCAATTTGTGTATCTTACCTCTCTGCAGTCCCAGTCTGCCACAACTCTTTACCTACAGGCAGCAAGATAAATGTTACAATTATTTTAGTCTGCAGAAATCTACAAAAAGGTTACCAAGTAAATGTGTAGATTTTCCATTGGTTTTATATTTTTAAAACTTTTCTTTTAATAACAGAATTCCTATGCTAACTGAAAAAAGCCACAACGTATGTTGGCAAGACCATCATATATAAAAAATAAATACTTGGAAGTATTGAAGTATTTCTTGACCCCCAGGTGTAAAGATGCCAATAAAGGGGCTTTACATGTGTGATCTCTAGTTGACAGCATATTTTTTAATCCCTTGTTTTGAATACAAATTCCATATCTGTCCTTTTACTGAGTAGGATGAGTTGGATCCACTGCTTAAATAGACATGAAGCAAATAAATTATTCACATCTGCACAGGGGAATCTTACTATTTCCTTCTATTTTAAGAAATACCTTCTGCTAGCCAACAGAGGAAAATTAACATAGATAAATTATATCCCATGTGAGCGTGAGGGATATGCAAGAGGTAACTCTAAAATATTTCTTAAAACCCAAAATGAAACCTTTTGGTTCATTTTAAAAATTATTTTTCTAGGTCAGCTTGTAAACAGAAAATACCAAATGAAAAATAAATGTTTCTGCATTTCTCATGAGAAATATTTTAATATCTTCAAAGGAACATATTCAAGATATTTGAAGTTTCCTTTTTTAGCAGTAATTCTTTAATGAATTCAACTCATATTCATATAGCTTTGATTCTCTAAAATTTATCTTTTTTTTCACAAATAAACCATTGATAATTAAACATAAAAAAAAGCCCTTCTCTGCTCTGGATGGATCGTCTGTCTACATCACATATAGCAAACCAACAGATTGTATTATTTAGAAAACTTTCTTTAAAAGCCTCTTTGTCTTCCCTATAGCATTGTAGTTTCTGTCTAATGATAGCAGTAGTTACCTTCTCCATTATATCTCTTTGTTGTTTGGGAAAGAAAAATTAAATTAGATGAATAGGATTCACTCATAGATGTAAATGCCACTGTGACAGGCCATCAGGAAATCTGAAAAGAAAGCAAATTCTTGATATGCTATTGTAATAATGCACTTTTCCTTGGAGGATAAGTATTACAATAAGTTTATAGTAGAGATTAAAGCTTTCGGAAATATGACAAAGAAAAAATATTTTAAAGCAGCTGCATATCAAACATAATTTATCTCAAAACATTGAGGAAATAATCTCTTTATGTGTATAGACTTTTACGTTTCCAGTAGCATGCTGCAGATTGCGCAGCTAAGTCACTTTCCAGATGTAGATCATCCAAAGAATAACAATAAGAAAACTGTGAAACAGATTTAGGCATTCAATTTTACTAATAGATTAATGATGTTATCAAAACTACTCTATTGATCATCAGCCATTCATTGACATTTCTACCACATTATTTGATTTCAAGAAACGGCTAAAAAAAAATCTCAAAAAGAAATTTCTTCTCTGTAGTGTGTAGAAGATTGATGTTAGCAACTTCTTCTCAAGTTCAGAAATTAATTGTGCAAATGTCTTCATTTTAGACAAACTAGGAGTCATTCATGTTAATGTAGTTCATGAAAAAATGATGACAGTAGACAAAACAACTCTGAACTATGCATTGTCATTTGTTTTGCCAAAAAAAAAAAAGTTTATTCTTAAAACAAAATCATAGTTTCTTAAAAAATATTCCCAAATAGATTTTCTTGTCCACTTGCTGAAAAATTTCAGTCAGGTCTGAGAGTGGTTTTGACTTTATGAAACCAGAAATATTTGTGACTTTGCTAATACTCATCAATTCAATGCAATAAATGTAGTTAAGAGCACTTTTGTCTTGATGATTCTGAAATGACAGCTGAAACCACTGAGAAATGTTAATATTCCTGGAAAGTAACTTATAAATCACAGAAATATGCTGCTGAAAAATATGGAATAGAGCCATACGATTGTTTAACATTTATACAATTCAGTTGTACCTTTTAAACTTAGGTCAAACCTCATTAAGGCAAGAGTACTTTTGAAAAACTAATTTTTAAACTTTATGGTTTATATGTTTTTTTAAAAGGTCTTGGAAGCTCTTTTTCTGCTGTCTTATAGCCATCAGAAGTTCAGAAACCACCACCTGGAAAACACTGATGTACATGGTTAAATAATTCATGATATGTAGATTCTTTCCTGGTACAAAGAACTGCAGAACCTTCTATTAACTTCTCCCCACAGTGTCAAAAAAATGAAAGAAAATAGTTTAGCATTAACGGAAATATAGATTTTTCTTCTGCTCTTATCTGTATGTATCCCATGTATGCTTTTTTTATATAGGTACCCACTAATAGTGTTTTCCTCTGTTGAGACACCTGCTTTTAATAGTTTTCATTTTGTGTTGCCAAATAATTGCTTTTGTTTTATTCTTTTTTCCCCCCTTTCCCTATTGAGTGTCAGTGACATGTAACAAACAGAAATATTTCACAGACACCATCTCAGAGACCTACTTTGCATGCAAATGTGGCATTTTGGTTTCAAAATGATAATCCATCACTATTCTGTACACTTAAAATATTCAATAATTGAAATAACACTGAAATTCTTTTGTTCTGTTACTTTACAGATCTTTCTGTACAGATCTTGGCTTTTCTGTAGCAAATTCCTTGTCAAACTGTTCTTTCCTTTATACATCTAGTACTTCATTATATTTTTGGATGAATGTGACCTAACACTCAAAATATAATTTGTTGAAGAGGGAAATACAATATTTTCTTTAAGCTACTCATTCTAGACATTGCTATCAATAATATATTTCATCCTACAAGAAACCTTTTTTTCAGGCAAAGTGACACTGTGTTCTGTCATTATACTGCTGAGATATAAATAGATTAAAAGATTTGTCTCCCTCTTAACGGAGCTATGCAATAAACCTACAGCTGAACACAACCATAATCCCAATTTTTGTTTCCTAGTTCAATACTATTTTCATCTGATCATCTTTCCTATTCAGTGTGTGAGCACAACTTCTATGAAATCTTTGCATTAGTACTTCCCTTTCAAAAGAAACCTGTACAATACTGTGAGATAACATAGCTAAGAAAGTGGTGTAGTTCTGCACCAAGGTTGATGGAGGATCTTGAGTATAGAGTAGAGAGAAACAAAAAGATTACCAGTAGAAGAACAATAGTTGCTTTGAGGAAAGACACCAAGACCCAGTGATATGCATCTTAGCCCTATTATAACAAAGTTAAAGAGCATAATGAGTATTTTTCAGAATACAAAAAGCATGCAAAAACCCCACAATAATAGAAACGTAACAGATTTTTTTTTCCCTCTCTTCTTCATACATAATGCTGCTACACCTATCTGAAATATGAATGAGCCTGTGAAGGCAAAGTCATTCTAATCAGTTTTACATCATTATTTTAAACTTTTTAAGTGCTTTGTTTTCTTTTTCTTCAGTTGAACATTTGTCATTGGTCATGTATTTACCCCAGGCCAGAAACTAAGTGCCACACAGCCACTCGCTTGCCCTCCCCCATCCACAGGGAATGGGGAAGAGAATTAAAGGGGAAAAAGGAAGGAGTCTCGTGGGTTGAGATAAGAACAATTTAATAATAATGATGATATAAAATTAAAATAAATAATGATAAAATAATATAATATATTTATATATACAAATATAGTAATAATAATATATACAAGCAGCTTATGCACAGTGTAATTGCAATCGGTGACCAACACTTATCCCATCCCAGTAAACGATCTCAAAACAGCTAAGTCCTGAAACCGTAATCTCAGATGAGTGAGAGGCCCAATAAGAGAGAGAGAGAGAGTCCCACAGAAGAGAAAGAGTTTTTCTTCCCAGTCAACCCTCATCTATGTACTGGACATGATGTTGCATGATATGGAATACTCCATTGGCCAATTTGACCCTCAATCCTAAATCTAAGTTCAGTTCATAAGGGGAGTTGTGGGTCCTTTGTCCCGGCCGTGCTCCCCCCAGGCTGTTGTGCTCCTGCACACCTGCAAGAACACGGGAAGCTGAAAGGTCCTTGTTGTCTCAGCACCAACTATAAACATCAGTGCTCTGTCAACATTCTTCTCGTAACAAATCCCAGACTAAACCCAAAACACAGAGCTCTCTTCTCGCTGCTAAAACGAAGTAACTCTGTCCCAGTTGAAACCAGGACAGGTCACTAAGCTGACTTTAGTTATTAACCTGTCACTACAGAAGCACTCCTGGAGACGTGTGGATTCTTAAGTACCTATATTTCAGTATTAGCACAGTCAAGTAAATTAGGTGCTAATGCTGGAAAGCATCACTGAGCAGACAAGCTTAAATCAGTATATGCTTAAACGTTATCTTAAATAGGAACAGATTTAAACACATAATTTTTTGCTTTCTCCAGATCATAAAAGGTAGTGAAAGGATCACACCTATAACTCATTTTTACCTCTTTACCTTTCAAAATACATTTATATCTGCATGCATTGCGGGTTTGGGGGCTTGGTGGTTTTTGGTGGTTTGATTCAGTACACTTTTTCTTAATGATTTTTTTTATCTTTCAGACTTGAATCTCCTACTAGATCTTTGGTGATGGAAGCACCCAGGGGAGTGCAAGTCAATGCAGCTGCAGGAGACTTAAAGGCTACCTGTAGGAAAGAACTGCACTTACAGTCCACAGAAGGGGAGGTAAGTTCAGCCAGCAGAGAAATGTTCTACAGCTTTGCCCAGTGCAGAGCAAACAATGTGAGGATAGTTTATTCAGCAGCAAGGTAAACATCACAGGAAGTGTTCTGCATTTGCCTACATTAAAGTAATTTTGGTTTAGCTTGTTCTATTATTAATACTTATTTGCTTTTTGCAAATATTTGAATTACTAAGTTTCATTCACACAGAAAAAATGTTAGTTAAATTAATATAGATAAGAATTATTTTTAATCTAAGAGTCAAGGAAAAAGCTACTCAGTCCTTCAGCTTATCCATGGGACAGAGACAGCTAAATGATAGTGGTAAAAAATTACTTTAGATGAATCTGACAAAATAAGAGAGAGAATTTTGGATTAACTTGAATTAATACTTCATTAAACCCTGATGAAGAGGTTTAACAAATTTGCTCTACGTGTGGTTTATTTCCTTGAACTGTTACTTTCTCTGTAAGAGAGGCAGCATACTTCAATGGTATGTTGTTGTGGGTTAAGTTGAAAACTTCCCCCCCACACACAGCCGGTCACTCCCCCTCCCCCACCCCCAGGAATGAGGGAGAGAATTAAGGGATAAACGGGAAACCCGTGGGTTGAGATAACAATGATTTAATACAGATGATTTAATACACAGTGTAGGTGCTCACCACCCCCTCTTATCCGCAGCCTGTCTCGTCCCAAAACTGCAATCCCGGACGAACGCGAGTCCCTGAAATAGAGAGGGGCAGAGAGAGAGAGAGAGAGAAAAGAAAGAAAAAACAGCAGAGCAACAGCGCAGCAAGCGCAAAAGAGCAAAAGTGCAAAAGAGCCAAAGCGCGGAAGCCCTTCTTCCCGGCTGACCCTTACTTTTATACTGGGCATGACGCTGCATGATATGGAATACTAATTGGCCAGTTTGGCCCTCAGTCTTAAGTTCCACACAAATCACAAGGGGAATCGTGTCCCCCTTGTCCCAGCTATGCTCCCCCCTTATCCCGCCGTGCTTCTGCACTCCGGCACACTGAAAAGTCCTTGGCAGCTTGTTATCAGTGTTCTTCTCAGAGTGAGCCTCTGAGTAAAACCAAAACATGGAGCTCTTCTGGCTGTTAAAAAAAAACTCTGTCCCAGCTAAAACTAGGACATATGTTCACTGGACTATTCCATCAGTGTCTTGTTTCAGTGATAAGCTCAACATAAAAAGATTTTGGTATAGATTCTTCATTTGTAAACACATGCAAACTCTTGAAAACTATTTTAAATTGGGTCCCTGGTTTGGTTGGAAATCCATGTACTGCAGAAACACATGAAAGATTACTGGTACGACAGTCCCTTCATCTTCAATTCTTAAGGCATGACGCTGAAAAAAACTTGTGCAAGGGAGTCAAAGGCTCTCAGATTTCTATTAGGCACTTCAGAGAAATGGATAGATTTTCTAGTTGTTCTCAGTGGGACTTGCCAAGTTACAGCATTTTCGGAAAACCAGTCGTTTAATGTAAATATCTAATTGGGAATAGAGCTCTTTAGAAATTTTTTGCCTTTTGTGTTTGTATTTTGTATTTTATACCAAATATTCCCAGATACTTACAAACTACCCAAATAAGCAGCAACAAACAAAACCAGCATTCACATCTGTGACAGATAATCCCCTGAAATGCACACTCTTTGCATTACAATGAAGATAGGAACATTTTTGGCCAATATACTGCATCAAAGGCCTACTTTGATAACATTTTTCTTTTGATGCAAGTATCTGTCCTGCATAATTCAAGCACAATATTTTCCTAATTCAGAGCCTCAAATATTTATATAACACATGCCCCATCTTATTTCTGATTTTCTCCAAAAGCCAGCTCTTCCTACCATCTCTCATCTTTACTTACCACCTCTCTAAATATGAAGGTTTTGTTACTGTTTCCTAAAGTTGCTGAGATAGCAGTAAGGACAATCTAATCCTCTTTTAATAGTAAATATCTTTGTCCCTCACCCTTGTCCTTTCTGTGGATAGTTTTATTGCAGGGGCTATAGCTTCCTTTCCTGCTTCTCCTCCATAAATCCTTACTTGGCAAAATCTATTATGTTTCCTACATTTATTAACATAAATTTTTCATCTAGAACATATTTATTTCTTCTTTATCTTCATGGTATTGCCAGGGGGAAAAAGTAAATTCAAATGAAAACAAAAAAGAAATAAACAAACAAACAACAACAACAAAAAAACAACCAATAGAAAGACAGTCACCTTTCCTCAATCCCCCATGATCCCTGAAGCAATGGTTTTATCTATAATGTCTTGGTTTAGTATCATGCATCTCTGTGGTGCTTTGTACAAATATTTAATCTGTGGATTCATCAGGCGTTTTTTTCTATATCAGCACTGTGAGTTCATTGCATGACTTCTTTCTTAAGTATTTACTACAAATTATTGATAAGGTAGCTTTGGAAATAATATCCTGTGACCTCAGCTGGACTTTGAGAATGGGAACCCAAGAAAAGTTATAATGACTGTACCATGCATTATTCAGAATTGGAATTCAATTCAGTATTAAATACTTTGTAGGAAAAAATGCCAACATAAAGCAGACTTTGCTGAACTTCTTATTAAAAATCATTATATTCCTCTATGTGGTGAGCAAGACTTTGTACATCTGTGATATCCTTCCTAGATGTTAGA